CACTAAAGGCATTCAAACTTTGGCTGTCCAGATATCACGAGACCAGCATTGGTATTCTTAAAAAGAAAAAACTTCCTTCCGTCAATTAATACTTCCATTCGAAGGAAATTCTTCTTCTTCCCTCCGCTCGGCATAAAGAATTCTTTGCACTAGAAAGTTGATATTTTCTGTTGGTACCCTGTTCCTCCGCGAGAAGCAGTGTATCTACCGTTGGTATATCGGTGCCTCATAATTATAGACAAACCCACGTTGTTACCACATTTACATTTTTGCTGTGTAGCCTCTTTTAAAGTAATATATAAAAAAAAGGTTGGGTTAATTTTCATTTTATGCCATCTGCGGAGCTCTGAAATAAATTTAGTATAAAAGAGTAAATCCAAAGTCACCTGATATCCTTAGCTTGTGATCCGTCGGTATATTTTGAAAGCGTAACTGTGCTTGGCCGGCTTTCCTTCTCGAAGACTTGCTCTACAATGTTTATATTCGAGTTACAATGCCCTAACAGCATCGCAAAATAGTTTTCAGTATCGGAGATTTACAACGTTGTGAGCAGTTTGTAAGTCTGAATAACATAAGTCAATTACAAAATCACCGAATGTATAACTTACGAGGTGTTTTGAGTTTCCATCCCCTGGTTGTGTGCTGTGTCCCATAAGCCGTTGACATGTTTGTATACTCTATACATATTTTGTGGCGCCACCAAAAAACAAAAAAGACAAGAAAAACACAGACGAAATTTGTCTACCGCACACGAGTCACAATTTGTAACAGCCACATATGGGCATCAGCCAACAGTTCCAGCATGGACTTCGAAGAGGTGCATAGGTTTATGATCTGCTACTTAAGGGAAGAAAGAAAAGGTAAAAAAATAAAATAAGTAAGGGGTACATCCAATGATTAGCCAAAGGTTGCTCAGGGGTCAGTTTTACTCTCTATGAAGACCTGAGATCGTACCCTGCCAAGTTTTTAACTACTTTAGAATGACTTCTAATAATTTTGATGAGCTGATGACCATCATTGGACCAGCAATTTCACATCAAAGCAACAACATGAGGAAATGTGTGCCAGCAGAAGAGAGACTCGCAGTAACTTAAGGTAAGAACAGATTACCAATTGCTATTGTATATGATTTAATAAGAAGCCTGAATTCAATATTCCACGGAAAGTAAAAATAAAAATATATAATGTGTAGAATTTCATGAGGTGAAATGCAACATGATATATTTATTTAGTAGGACGAGTAGAAGGATATTGCATTGAATTAAATATGAAATGCAATATGCGTTACTGTATTGAACTTTTGTAAAACTAGATCCAACCTTGTGTTGAATGCATAAACAAAAGGTAACTGCAACATTCACAATTAACAGAAACATAATTAAAAGCCAGTTAGTGACCTACTGTGCAAGATGTATGATGTGTGCTGTACCTCCCGGGAGACCATGTTCAGTCACAAAATAGTGGCTCGTGTGTGGTCTTCCATACAAACATGTAGAGTACTGTACTGTACTATACTGTACTGTACTGTACTATACTGTACTGTACTGTACTGTACGTTTCATTTATGGCCACAAAAAGTGGCAGCCACAAGCCACTAAAAGGGTGATCGTGTGCGGGGGCCCTGAAGATGTGACGCTTACAAGTTTTACGTGTCAACATATTATAGCAAGTGTGATATGCAAGTTTGGTAGGTGTACCTGAATTCTACTTGATGTATGAGACGTGTATGTGAGTGGTGTAAAATATCTCCGTATATATGTAAAAAATATAGTTTATATCAATGTGGCACATGTGTCCAGAATGTAGAGTGTAGTTTATGTAGCAATTAGATGCACTCGTAACTAAATGTGTCATACAAGTGTGATGTATACATGTGGATATTTTGTATACTTAAATATATTAAATAAGTGTGTGACGGGAATCATATTTAACGTAATTTAATTCAAGGTTAGATCTCTAGCAGACTCGCTCTCATGCCTTGGCAGTTATATTGGCACGTCTCACCAAGATGAGCTGACAATTCATTTAACCCCTTCAGTACAATGACAACCCACTGACTACAATGAATACTCCACTGATTAATGTCCCGTAACCTCTTGAATACGATAACTCAACCCCTTGCGTACAATAATTTAACCCCTTGAATACAATGAATTAGTCCACTGATTAATGTATCGTAATCCTTTGAGTACAATAACATAACTCCTTGATTACAATGTCATTATCTTATAAGTTTGATGGCTTAGCTGTTTGAATACGATTCCCGGGCACTCCCAGTTCACCCATCTGAAACTGGGTACCTAAGTTACAACTTGGGGAATTAAATGCGGTCGAAGGTAGTACCGGAAATGTTGCCTCCTTGTGTACCGAAGGCTTAGTATACAGTGAGCTGTATCCACACTGTCCTTATTGGACGGCCATGCCTCAAAACATTTTGGTCTATCAAAAGACAAATATTATCAGTATTTAGTGGAAGGCTAAAGAGAAAGAACGGGATGGCAGGGGACAGAAGGGAATGGGGAAAGGGAGAGAGTGCGAAAGGCAAAAACAGAGTAAAAGTAAGTAAAAGTAAGAAGAAAGGGAAGTGGGATGCAAAGACAAAGGGAGGTAGAAAAGGGGAAGTAAAAAAGAGAAATGCAAGAAGGGAACGATCAAGGAAACAATAGAAAGAAAGGGAGGGGAACAACAAAATTATGAGAAAAATGAATGAGAGAATGGACAGATACAGGAATAGAAAGGGGAGGGAATTCATATGGAAAATGAAGGGAAGGGTAATGAAAAGAGAAGTCAGGAAGTCGAAGGGAAAGACAAACTGGGAAAGAGGAAGTAAGCCATAAATATGGGAAATAGGCGACAAAATGGAACAAGACGAAGGAAAAGAAGGGAGGGAGGCGCGGGTGAGGGACTAGCGAGAAGGGAGGTTAGAGGGGGAGTAAAATGTAGGACACGTCATTAATCTACCCAAAACAATATCGGTCCATCGTTCACCACGACACCTGATTTATGTATATAGGCGACGGAGAGCCTCAGCTGATTCAATACACGGCACCACTTTCAAGAGGAAAATGTAAAGACTTCGTCCTTTAAAACACTCTAACTCAACTTGAAAGCAGAGAGCTGTTCAGGAATGTTTCCTTGCACTCGGCCAATAGGGTACGAAATATAAATAGGGTATTCCGACATCTATTGTTGTAACTTTATGTGGTGGTCACGCAGGTACCGATATGAAATAGTAAGGCCTCATTGTCAAGTTGTACAAGTTTCAGTGCCAAGAATAAATTCGCGTTGCAAATCCTATGTATCACTGGTTTATTACAAAGGGCGTCTGTAACATAGTTTATTACAGTGGGCATCTGTAACGTGGTTTATTTATTACAGTGGGCACCCGTAACATGGTTTATTTATTACAGTGGGCATTCGTAACATGGGTTATTTATTACAGTGGGCATCTGAAACATGGTTTATCTATAACAGTGGGCGTCTAAATAGGGCAGCGGCAATACATGACACTAAAGTATAACCAATGAGAAATGTAGGATGTAAGTTGACTAAATTCCAAGTTCAATATTACCTTCTACATGAACTGGAGATTCTTCTATTTATCAGTGAGACGATTTAGTGGGGCTCCTGTGACGGTCTGAGACAATAATTTGGAAGACAGACGTATCATATTTTTCCAACACTCTTTTACTTATCTCTCTCTAATCCCGTCACTACGATAATACTTTATAAAATAAGCAAGGAATTGTATCACCGTCCTTGAAGTTAAGATTAACTTTATGGCAGCCGAGTAGAAAGAGCACTCTCCTATTGTTCTAAGAGTAGCTTATTGGTTCCTGGGGCACCCCAAGTTCACCCAGCTGTGAATAGATACTTAACTCAACCACAGGGGGACAGTGCTCGAGTGCAACTTGCAGGGTCGAGCACACTTCCTTCTTGTTTACTGAAGGCTTAATAATCAGTATATTGTATCCACACTGCCCCTAACCCCTTGGCTGCGGGAAGTTACCCTAAGCTAAATAAAATCGTTTTGGGGTAGCCAGAAGAAAATGGCGAGTGCGGAAATGACAGCGAAAGAGTTATTCGAGATAGGTTTTAAAGGGCCGTTAGGGCTTTAATAAACAATACTTTGGAGATGAACAGGTCTCCACCACACTTTGATTAATCATACCAATGCACCACACTTTATTTATGCATATTTAACCAAATACGTTTTACGTTACTTGGTAAAAGATGCAGTGTTCAAGGGAATAAAGGATCGTTTACCCAGCAGAGAATGAAATGATAACTGAACAGTTGGGTAAGTGAAGGCGATCGATTACAGTTACTAGTTTACAGTACAAATACTTGCCGAATATTGATATTTAAAAGGAATTACACTTTAAAAAATCAAAGGCAACGCTGAAATGCAGCAAATATATTAAATAATTATATTTGTCTAAATTGTTTTGAAAGAATGATAGTTTGACAAGCTGAGTTTTCAACATGATTTTATGTACAGTGTTCTTAATTTCATGTCACAAACATTTTTGGAACATGGTTACAGGTCCGGAGTTCACGGTGTTCTTTTCTAAATCCCTTGGGTACAAGGGATCTATATTTGCTAAATAAAACCGTCTGGAGTTTGCCAAATAAAATATTAAAAGTGACGTCCAGCAGTAAAGGAGTTTAGTAAGAGTCGAAAAAAGAAATAAGTCGTCAATATAATTTCGTAACTACTTCCCTCTCCACCATCGGGATTAAAGCGTCTGCTTCAAATTAGCAGCACCAGCAGAAGGCATTACACCCGCTGCAATACTTCAATAAGGCGCAGCATACCCAAGATATTAGTAGCATTGGTACTTGAGAAAAAATCAAATGAATGCTGATGCCTAAACTATTTTCTTAGTAATGGGATGTACACTGCTCCCCTGAAAACTACATCTCCTTCAGTCTGATAACGGTAACACATGAGTCCTTATTAATTTCGGTGGATCTCAACAGCTGAGGTGTTCATGTACTTACCCTACTGCCTTGTGTTCCTCGCAGCACAGTTTCACGCAGTTCCCATCATCCTCTTGGGCCCCCTCAGCCATCTGCAGGATAAAACAGATAATTTTATTTTTTTAATAATTTTCAACTTATTCCAATCCTACTCTCCCATGTTGTACGTACTATTTTCAAACTTTAGGCATCAAAAAGCCCGTCAGGACATTAGTGTTCTCAAAGTGAGGTTCAAATCTTGGGCAAATTCCCATATCTAACAGAGAATGTGATCGCCTGGAGTGATAACTGCTTCAAAAACTTAATCCCAGGATCAGATTAGAAAAAATGGGATCATTAACGAAGGTCCTCTTGACCAAAAATGGGTCTTGATACTTGATGTGATCTTCAGTATTGGTTCCCGTTGATATTATAATGCATTATCGCACTTCAACAACTAAGATCTTTTACATATTCTTAGTACAACTGTCTTTCATAGTTCAAAATTATGAGATATATATCCTTCTGGTGTTTGGGACTTAGAGGTTTATAACTGATGTAATTGAAATGATGATAATTAATCAGGGGCGGCATGGTCTGTTATAATCGGGATTTGGATGGCTTGGCACATTACCACGAGGCCATCGCATTCAAGGTATACTACTACTTCTTTACACCAGTGCCTCTTCCCTCCACGGCCAAGCACGCGTTTAAGGGTCACAGGCTAACACGGGGGTTAACTGCTTTATTTTGTCCTTGTCGTGAGAGAGAATACAGCTTATCCCGAGCCAGACAGTGAGATGACACATCCATTCACCTTAACTTAGAGGAGTTAGGAATCACCTGCATACACCGTCCAGATAGCGAGGGACTTATTCGTGTATTTGTCCTAGCAACATGAGGAATTCCGTATATGTCCTACCCTAACAAATATTACTGTTAGCTATACAGATGACATTCTTAAACATACTAAAACTAATCGTGAAATGCAAACCACCCTGAACCATGTACAGTCAGCCTGTGAGAATCTTGGTCTCAAAAACTCCACTGAAAAAGCTAAAGTTTTCAACAAACAAACTGGTTACCGCAAATGTGGACCATCAAACCTTAAGATAGGTAACAACACCATTGACTATGTCTCCTCTTCTAAATATTTCGGTGTCTCTATTCCCTGTACCTCACCGGCCATAAAACAGCTAACCCGCTAATGTACTGATAGGTTAAAACCTCAGATGTGTAGCGGGGTACAACACCACACTATGGCGCTAATATCAGAACTGACAAAACAATGTACTGTACCTTGGCTATATACACAGTAAGATATCTATTAGATTACCACGCACCAGCCCTGGTCCTTCGTGACGGGAAAAGCATTGACGAGCTCGAAAAATGCAGAATAAAGCCCTTAGAATGGACGAGATGACGGTTCTGGGTAAACACAAGAAATACACTCTGCCACGTTCGTAGAGTAATACGGTATATATAATTTGTAATAAAAGTTTAAAGTCCTGCTATAATAGTCGAGATAAAATTATTTCTCGAGAAACAGAGCCGCCATTTGCAATGACGTCACCACCTACCCTGCAGACGACGCCGGGATGGAGATGCGAGTCAATTTAGAAGTAATGACATTTTTTTTTTTGTATTATTTATTGGGCACCCCCTTACATCCTTGTGTAAGGTGAAGCGCAGAAGCGTTTACAGCGCCCAACAGGGAAGCATGCTAAGTTCATGCTTGCCTTTATGTCTCACGAGTTAAGGGCATAGAAGCCTGAAGAGTCAGTGGTTTTATGTCATGAAGTTATTGGAAGCTCCAACAACTTTCCCTGAATACGAATTCGCAATTTTCGACTTACACTAGGTACCTACTTTACTGCTAGGTGAACAGGGACTAATGGGGGCAAGGAAATAAGTCCAAACAACTTCCACCGGCCCGGGAATCGAACCCGTGACATCCCGCTTGCGAGGCAAGAACGGTACCGCATCTACCACCGATCCCCGCAGTAATGACATTGTCTGGACTTTGTTTTGAAAATACCTGATGCTAGGTAAACATGACAACATAGTGCTGTTATTGTTTTGATGAGTCACTAATGAACCACTGGGATATATCATCATTTATATTAATTAATGGGTAAAATTTTACTTTAACTACCACAAGTATTTGGATGCTTAGATTCAAGATAGGCTTGAGTTAATTTTATGTTTTGGTCATCCCTGTATTTAGACATGCAGACTATGTTCTTTTCTGGTGGTTTGCGATGTGTTATGAACGATTTAGACCTTCATTTCTATCGGAAATCACTAGTTTTGAGTTATTACCCCCCTTACCGATGTATGTTAAGCTAACCTTATACCCTAACCTAGCCCAACCTAACCTATGACCTGTATTTTCTTATGCGATCGAAAAATGTTTTGCGACAGAAATCCCGTAGAGATAATTTATCTTATTGTTTAAAGTACTTTATCCCATAGTTAGTATCTTAAGGTTCCCCAGATGACCAAAACCAAAATTTTACCAATATTGTTTGAAATGTTTATACTATGAAATTTGTTGTATGGGCAGCTAATATCCATTGAATTAGTTAATGTGGTTAGTAATATTTATATATTCAATATTGCATTACTGTGTTGCACAGTAAAGCACAATTAATTATCAAATAATATTTATCTAGAGCCGATCAGCCGAGAAGGTTGGACAACTACTTCCAGGATTCATCAAGACAGATGAAAGAAATTTACCCAAAGTAGATGTCATTATGATTGTAGAGTATTATCAAGAACTCCGCCATCCAGCTATGAAGAACGTTAACTTATATCTGTCATCTGATCATCTCTAGCCCATCCCCTGGCCATGGCCGTCCCTAGTCCTTCCACAACATTAAATATAGACATCAGTGACGAAAACTTACTTTTTCCAGATATGAATTAGAGAACAGTGATGAAAACTTCCATCTTGGAGTTATCGGTCTTTTGCATCATTTTGGCAAGTAAATACACACGATGATACTTGAACAGTAATCTATTTTAACCTAAAAATAAGGCATAGCTGTATATATCAACATTGTATATGGCCACAAGTCCTGTATTTCTGCTGGTAACAACACATACACCTCAGCTGGCTGGACGGCTTGCACTAGTCAGTGACGTCACAACCAATCACACAGCTTTAAGCAGTCACGTGACTTTTTAGCAACTTTAACCCTTAATTTTTTACACTTTTGGCTTAATTTATTAAAAAAAATATCATTACCATAATGAATTTAAGCGTTTTCTTTACCCATTGACCAGCCATCCTCCGAAAAAAATTCTACTGTCAACTCGTCCATTATCTTAGGACTTATAGGCTGGCCCATGAGCACTTAAGTAATCAATATGAGGAAAGATCTAGGAATTCCCAGTGTCGAAGATAGTATATTGGAGTCAACCTCTTGATGGCCCTGGGGCACTTGTGTGATAATTCAGACAACAATGCTTCTAGGAAACTGCTAGAATATATGAGTCTTGAAACTGGCGAATCTAAATTGATCCAAACTATAGCTACGCATTTGAGAATGTTTGGACTAGGCAATCTGTACAAAGCTGAGACACAGCAGCGCTTCCTGCCACCCTGGCGGACAATTTCCATCGATATCACAACACCCATGTACCCTCCTAAACGACTGACCCCACACAATCCTTATCTCCAACACTCTGCCAAAGTGAGAGCTCTTGAACACATACATAACCTACAAACTGAAAATAACATCACACAAAACATCTACACGGATGGCTCTCCTAACTGTGACTATGGGAGGACTGGAAATGCTAGAATTAATAACTGGGCATCCACTCAACAAATTGAACTATTTCCCATACTCACAGCTCTGAAACTTGTTGAAGACATTGGGACTGGCAGTATCATCATCTCTGACTCTTTATCCTCACTACATGCTCTTGATACCATAAAATGAGATTGTTACCTGCTTGTCTCTGAAGCCAGACACAAGCATATGTGTCTTGTTGACGGGGGTATCAAAATCAAGCTGCTGTGGATGCCCACTCATAGGCATCAATCAACACGATAGAGTTGATGCCTTAGCTAAACTCGCATCCAACAATGACGATGTTGAATACAATCTGGGACTGTCAAACAGAACCCTAAAATCTCTAATCAGGAAAAAAATTTATGAATTTGAAGCAAGCAGACAAGTGCAAACAGGCACTAGTCAAGCCATTGTTTACCATGATGATATGTATTAAGGAAAACGTGGAGTAAGTAACAAGATCACTAGATTACAAGATGTTATAACCGCTAGACTAAGGTTAGGATAATAAGTACCTCTGACAATATGCCCCTCAGGCAGTTATGAATAAAACTAAATGTAAAGTGTACTGCCACACATAATTATGACCACACACTCCAACACTACGCTTTAAAGTTAGACTATGAAAAATAGATTCTTATAGGGACAGATTCAAGCATATTGTGTCTGCAATAGCACAGCAGTTTATCTGTGATGGCAAGATAGCTGATTTACTAAAGCTGTATCCACACTTCACATCGAGTATCTCATCAAAATTCTATGTACTGACTTAAACAAACAATGTACTGGAAATACTCTTTAATACTCAATGCCATAATATTATGTTCACTGAGGAGTGATAAACACCCCTTGTAACCTCTACAATTTAATCCTTTTTCCGCTATCGCTCACAGGATGAGTATGAGGTGCACAATAAACTAGCTGATGTCTGCAACATAAAGCAGTGTTTTGTTTTTGCCTGTTTGTTTGTTTGCATGTCTGTTCACTGTGCACGGCTACATTTTTAAATATAGACATCTGAAATTTGGCATGGGGATGCGCATGTTCCCTAAAAGTGTCATGAAGGTGGAATTTGGGGGTTAATCCCAATGGTCGGCATCCACCCCGAAACGTGGAATCGTCATATTAAGAACATTTAATTTTCTGTTTCTTTACAATGTGCAATAGCCCTTGTCTCATTGTTGACAGTAATATTATATAAATGTGGGTTAATTATATTTGTCTTGTATAACTCCATCACCCACAGTAACTTTCCATGAGCAATGAGATATCATACAGTGATCATGTGGTCCATTCATTTAACACATGATCGGTAACTTTCCACTGTCTGTAAAGAAGCTGTCTAAGCTTTCTTCAGAGCCACTCCTCCTTGAGTAGTTATTTAACTCTCACGAGAGAAGGACGTCGAACTAAGCTTCACAGAGAAGCTCTGTGCCTTCCTCTAAGATTCTTCACTCAACCCTCATGAGAAACAGACGCATTGATAACCAAGCTTCACAGATAAGCTTGCCGTCTATGTATCTAACATCCATAGCTCAATTGAGATAGTTACGGTGTTATCCTTTTTGAAAGTGTATATAGAACCTTTTTATAATCAATGAAGAAAGAACATATTGGATTTCGCTACAGAAAATCAAATCAATTTTGATCTATATTTTAGTACATCTAGTTTCTAGAATATAAGGTAAAATACTTCACAAGTGATTGTTACAAGTGGTGACAACCCAGGAAGGTTGTTACAATGTTACATATATGACAGCTTCACAAGTAGCTGTTATACAACAAGTAACAGTCCCCCTAACAGTTACACAGTTCGTAAAGGTAGAGAATATACTTTATTCTCCTCATTACTGTGTTATACTGTTACAAAGAAGATATTGCTACATTGTTGGCAAAGCGTAGCTTAAGAGGACACCAGTCTAGGACCAGTCTAAGATGTCCAGTGTACAGGACCAGTCTACAGTTTACAGTTAGTCAAGTATACTCCAAGTAACTGTGACAATTTGGATAACATAAGTTATTCGCCACACCGGTGTTGAATAACAGTTGAGAAAATCTGTTCTCCTTTTACTCCTACTGTTATATATAAAGAAATTAAACAGTTTCAAATGCACGGCCACGGTTTTTAAGATAGAGAGGTCAAATTTGGCCCGCTTTTGTAAATACCTTCTAGAATACTCACGAATATTTACAGTGCGCCCACCCCCTACCACAGATTTTAACATAAGCTGAGATTGGTATGATTATCTTTGAAGATGCTCTTAATTTTGGCCAAGGACACACATAGGCCTCCACCTATTCTGAATAACATGACTTCGTCAGAAACAGATTCGGGGCCTTGAGAGACCTTTCTCTTAATTTTTAATTGTTGATGTCCAGTGTAATCCTAATTTAGAATACGATTAAAGAACTTAATTATTGGAGCGCAGTAATATATTATAACATCAGCAAACTCGAACAACACCAAGTATGCTAGTAATGCTCTATAATTCTTTCCTGGTATACCAGTATATCTTATCCTAGCAGCGGGAGGACTTACCTGTATATCTTGTCCTTGCACCGGAAAAACAACACTTTTCTTGTTGGGATTGGACTTCTGGAGAGCCTTGAGAGCTTTTTGCTGGGCCCTGATGCGTTCCCTTTCTACCTTTGCCCGCTCCTTTAATTCCTTGGCTTTACGTTCCTTGTCGCGCTTCTTCATAAACCTAAAGGCCACTTGCTGTAGTTCCTGCTCCTCCTCATATCTGCAGTCCCTGTCAAATGATAAAGTGACCATTAATTAAAAGAAAACACAATCCATGCTAAAACAGGATGTGGATATTAATTAAAAAAACTGTAATAGATAAACCAGATGTAAACGAACACCGGAATTTTCTAGCGAAAGAGAAATTGGGAATACTAAATAGTCGTTCATTAAGAATTAACCCGAGATTAAAATTTGCAGTTTTTGCTACTCTTGAAGTAATGCATATCACAGGGGGAAAATATGACAATAATATGCCTAACATAGGCACGGAGGAGGTGCCATTTGACCTAAAGGGAAAAATATGAAGAGAACAGTGTTATATCCACGTTTGGTCCTATTTCCATGTGGTGTTGGCTAATTGGATCGGAGACGTCTTTTCTTGGTGTGTCTTGTTATAAAGTTAAACATTATTTTTTTATAGACAGCGACAGAACTGTGCGAATCAAATTAAATCTGGGGTGTGCAGTCAGGAATAACAGGAAAACCCTACATAAACCACGGGCTTCCTTCCCCCGACTGAGCCACTGCTAAATGTGGTGGCAGACAAGTAAACTAAACACAAAGACAACAGACAAGCCAAACTCATTATAGACAACTACACTTGACAAACCTTCAACATACACAGTGGACTCCCACAAGGCAGCAATATTTCACACACACTGTGTACAATATACTGTACACAGCAGACATACCAAACCCAAGACAATCGGACTAAATAGCATACGCTGTCGATATCACGCAAATAATACAATATCCGGGGAGATCTAAACAAATGATGGCCATAAGAACAGGGAAAGAAATTAAAGCAATTAACAACTATGAGAGAAAGTGGAAAATCCAAACCAACATCCCAAACTAAAGATTATATACATTGCAAAAATAAATCCATACCCAATCATAATCAACAATCAACAGTTACCATATGCAGAAAGTGAAAAAACACTGGGACTCAAAATCACCAGAAACGGTATACACCAACACTTTAGAGAAAGATTGACGAAAGCCAAATTACAAGTAACCAAACTCCATCGCTTCAGAAAACTAAACACCAAAACACAGCTACATCTATACGAATCACTCGTCAGACCACACCTTGAATACCCACCAATTCAACTTAACACAATAACTAAAACAAACAAACTCAAGCTGCAAGCAGTCCAAAATACAGCACTAAGAAGAGCAGCAAAACATAGGCCGCCATACAGACAAAAAATACGCGACATACACATCGAACATAGCATAAGACACAATTAACATAATAACACACAAACAAGCAAAAGCGGTATGGGACAAACTACACCGAACACAAGACCCTATTTTACAGGAACTATTACAGGCAAACAACAATATATCACACAGCCGGTGGCCAAGAAGCATCAACATTAACACAATCAGCCAGGAACCATTATACGCGAGAGAATAACACCACTCATATAACCAAAAAGAAGGGGACTATCCTGCCAGTTCACACAAGGAGCTGGTGGGACCCCCCAATCACTAAAGATGGGGAACATCCCTTCAGTTACACAAGGACCTGAAGGGACCCTTCAAGAAACAACCAACACGAAAGACCAACACCACATGCATAACCTTAAAGATGGGGATTATCCTGCCAGCTCACACAAGGACCTGGTGGGACCCCTCAATCACAAAAGATGAGGAACATCCCTTCAGCAGCACAAGGACCTGAAGGGACCCTCCAACAAACCCTAAAACAGCACATTCCCTTGGATCACACTTTAAACTAGCTTAGCTTAGCTTATCTAACCTCCCTTGCCCCTGGAGGACTGAGGGACGTCTGTCACTGGTTAAGCCACAAACCAGCCTCCGCAAGGTGGAAAGCCCACCTGCTATCATTCTCCTTTTGTACCTCTCACTTCTTAACTATACCTTCCCCAAATCTCCTTGTTCACCTCAGAGCCACGGCTCTATTATCTCGGTGTTCTGAGATTGTTGTTTCAATCACACTATGGCACTCACTGTGGAAGAACGCGTTTCTTGTCGAGTGTTACATCAAGAATGCATCCTTTAGGAAATGATAATTCGCATTTCAAATTCGTTTAGGTGATTTTCCGCTTACTGCAGGTCCTGAAATATAGCAATCATCCAGGGCTCTCGGCAAAAAAATATTAAAAAAAGTTTGTGGTGACAAAATATGACGTGTGAAGCAACCAGTTCGATCTCTTCGCAGAAAAAATGCTGGTGAAAAATTATAAAAAGTATTGAAAATTGTAAATTACAGTAGATATCGTGGAAGTCGTAATTTAGTACATGACAAGATATGACGAAAAATTGAGAAATAAAACCATGAAAGTATTTTTCAGTGTTGTCCTATTCATTTCTTATTTTATTAATTCATTCATTCATTTATTATTAGTTCAAATATGTATTTATTTTATTTTTATAAAAACGATATATGACCTTTATAAACAAAACTAAAAGTATACAATACTGTAGTTGTAATCTACAGTAGCTATGCGAAAGCTTTAGTTGCTGTTGAAAGTTTTAAGTTTTCTATAATTGCGTACGGAATCGTTTTCTCCGTTATACGACTGACTGGTGTAATTTTTCCCCATTCATTTCTCTAAACTATATGGTATTTTTTTTACGAGTAGACAACCAACGAACCTAACACTACAGGTTATGTTATATTATGTTACGTTGTTATGTTGCGTTAAATTTGTCAGGTTAGGTTAGTTTGGGTGCTTTTTGGTTGTTGAGCAATATGTTGCTAAACAAAAAATCCATGGTTGTCCACTTGTAAAAATTTACCAACAATTCTCATGAGTGAGCAGCTGTAAATCAAAATAAAAAATTATTTAATGAAGTTTTTGTCTGTGATATTTGTGTTAATTTCCATTTCATATCAGTCTTTTCTTCAGTATTTTGATTCGTTTTCCTTTCTGTTTGTCTTCGTTTTCTCTATTTAATTACACCTATCCTGTAGCGAGAATAATCATCTTCTCGATACGACTATATCTGTCACCACGAACAATTAACAATGAGCTAATTAGACTCGGAAACTAACAACATATCGATGAATTTATCACATGGAAATAACAACTTCTCACTGTGCCTGATCCCCATGAGGAAATAACAGTATTTCGAAGTACCCCTCCCCTCCCCCTCCACACACAAGGGAATAGCAAGTTTTCGATATACCTACCCCTACAAGGAACCAGCAGCCTCTTGATATTTTAGCCACACATGGAATTATTAATTTCTCGATGTCCCTAGTCCCATGAGGAAAATGTAGCTTCTCTATGCACCTACCCCAACGATGAACCAACTGTTCCTCAATTTAGCTACCCACACACTGAAATATAAATTTTTTATGTACCTAGCTTTAATACAAGCTTGTAGTGGACTTCTCCCCTACAACTGCGTATCCGCATTCCAATGTCACCGTATCCTAGCAACCGAACCAAAAGACCGGCGACTTTCTCGGGTTTTCCCAACATGACTCATAGAGGACTCGCGGCTGCTGGGTATATAAACTCTGTCTCTCCATTGAGATTCATTCTCGCCTCACTTCTACAACACGCAACACCTCCTCCTCCGCCGCTGCCTGGCGGCCCTCGCCTCTCCTCGCCTGCCTGGCGGTCCTCGCTCCCGCCAGCGAGCATGGCGACCCACCAGCTGTCCTTCTCTGAGCTTCCTCACCAACCAGCTCTCATTCTGGTCTCTCTTCTTGAACAAGCAACACCTCCTCCAGCAAGCTCCACGCTGTCAGCATTCATTCAACCAGGAGGCCAGCAACAGGCAACATCTTCTCTAATGAAGCGCCTGCACATCTACCTCCTTCAACACGCTACTCACCGAAAGTCTCTACTGAGCAGCTCCTCATCACACGGCACCTCCAGCACCAGACTGTCTATCATATAACTTATATTATACAAGAAAACCACCTTAGAGTTTCCATCCATCCTGAGTGCTAGACAACATTATACCACGAACACCTACAAATGGTGACTCCCGGAGATTAGCACTCACACAGGATGGAGGAGACACTGATCACGCTCCCAGTCTTCAAGCAGCATAGAAGAATGGCTTATCCACACAGAAGCAGCTCTGTTACTCTAAGCAGACACCAGCTCCTCTTCCTGCCCCAAGCACCACATCCTGACGACCCCAGCACACCGTCCTGCCTCAGACGCCGACCCCGGCCCAGCAGTAACCCCTGACGCGGCCTCTGTTCCTGAATCCGGACCCCCACACACCCCTCTTTTCTCCCTCAGGTACTCCCTGCTAATGTCCTGCACCCTGCTGCTGTCGTGGACCCAGCTGCTGTCACGAGCCCTAATCCGCTTCTGCTGACGCAACCCCTGCTCCTGACCCACACACACCCCAGCAGGCGCATCTGACTACCCTGTACCTGTCGTGAGGGAAGCACAACATTCATCGCCTCCACACACCCCTCTTTTCTCCCTCAGGTACTCCCTGCTAATGTCCTGCACCCTGCTGCTGTCGTGGACCCAGCTGCTGTCACGAGCCCTAATCCGCTTCTGCTGACGCAACCCCTGCTCCTGACCCACACACACCCCAGCAGGCGCATCTGACTACCCTGTACCTGTCGTGAGGGAAGCACAACATTCATCGCCTCCACACACCCTTTTTCTCCCTTCTCCCACAGATAGTGTGTATCTAGACAGTTGTATTTCAGCGATCGGCTCATTCACGCCATCGCCGTTGTCTCACATGAGGCATGCACCGCCCGGCCTGCCTCACATGTGCTAAGCAACTCTACAGACAACAAGTCTCCTACACCGCCTGGAGGGAAGGGGGAGTATTGTAGTGGACTTCTCCCCTACAACTGCGTATCCGCATTCCAATGTCACCATATCCTAGCAACCGAACCAAAAGACCAAAAGACCGGCGACTTTCTCGGGTTTTCCCAACATGACTCATAGAGGACTCGCGGCTGCTGGGTATATAAGCTCTGTCTCTCCATTGAGATTCATTCTCGCCTCACTTCCACAACACGCAACACCTCCTCCGCCGCTGCCT